CTATATAGTATTTGGCTTTTTTTTTTTTCTTCTTCGCTCGTTTTTATGGTCTACGTCGCGTTGAAAAGTGTTGTACAGCTGCGTTTGCTGCTACGCTTAATTATTCATAGATATATGATCTATAGATGAGCTATATATACCCATATATATTTGTGTATAGTCAGCCTTTTATATGTCTCAGAGACAACACATAATCCTATTCAATATTCATCTCGATGTCTTTTCGCTTTTTTATTATGCGTAACAAACAATTGCATGTGTCAAAATATTGAGATATTTTGCAGATTTATAGATAGGCATATATATAGCGATATATATAGATCTTTATAGCTCTCTCTCCCTCTCACTCTATGTATAGTGTTTGCAGAAGCGCTCCCTGCGCTCTATGATTCATTTGCTTGGCATGATTTTGTTTGAGTTACGCATAGTTTGGTTTCTATGCCATCTAGATGATATGATATCTATGAAAAGCTTTATGTACAACTTACCGTTACGATCGCCTGGACAGGTCTTGCAGCATTTGCCAGGCAATGAGATGGGATCATCGCATTTAGCCGGCGGGCATTCGTTCTTGATGTTGCGACACTGAACGCGTGCAACAATGCGACGCTTCTTGGGTATCTGAAATGTGAAAATAGAGAGGTTGGGGATTATAATTGATGGATGATCAGGAGGATAATGAAAAACACCTATATCTATAGTGAAGGTCAATACAGAATATTGCAGTTATATCTATCTATCTGTATATCTGTAGRTAGTAATGCATTTTTATTTATAGAGAATACTTTTGATAGCACTAAGTAATTTGTTATATAATCTTATGAAATCTTACAAAAGGGCAGTTCAGAATCATATTCAAATAACCCAAGGGAAAATATAGATTATAATATATAGACTTGGATGAAACTTTTTGAGAGTCAAAAGTCTTCTATGAATACATAAGTACATACTGCAGCTATGAGGAAGATAGTAAAGTAATATGTGTTGGATTGTAAAACTATAGCATCCTGAGGAGCTCTTCTTCCCTTCCTCTCGCCTTCCCTCTCTCTCTCTCTCTCTCTCTGACTCCCGCATACTCCCCTAATGTTAATTCTCTCCTGGAGAATACTAAATAAATTCTATGCACTTGTTTGTTTGTGTTTTGATTTTCTGTCTCGTTTCGCTCGCTCTCTGATTGTAGCTCATTAGTTATGCTGAGTGGATGGGCAATGTGTCACTTCTGTCTGGTTTGTGCCATTATTGTGTATTTTATTTATTTTTTTATTTACTTTTTATATAATTTTTGTAGCCACAAAATTAATTAGCGCTGCCATTCGCATAGCTGAAAACTGACTCAAAGTCGCTTGTCTCTTCTTTATTATGATTGTTTTTCATTTTAATTTTCATCAGTCTCTCTCTCTGGCTATCTCCTTATCAAATACCCTGTAATTGACGTGCATTATGATGTGTGACTAAGCTGAGCGAGCATAACAATTTTTAGCTATATAAAATAGATGCCCTATCCCCAGCCAACTGAAGGAACTCAGCTGCTCGAGCAGTTAGAGACCTTCACTATGTTCTCAACTCTCAACTCAATTGAGAGTTACCAAAGAGAGATACTTCCATAGATACCAGCTGTACAGGGTATTGTTTAGTCTTCCCTGGCATTGCATCATGCTGCATTGCCATCTCTTTCGCACTGTCGCGTCGCCTGCCTTAAAATTAGAACTAAATCAAGCTGCGATTTTCTTAATATAAATATCTGAATATATTTATAATTCCCATGTTTATTTTTTTCCATTTTGCTGTCCCCGACTTTTTATTAATTCATTTTTGATCTGCGCGAATCTGATGAGAGTTTTTTTTTTTTTTTGTCATTTCATTTTTTGTTGTTGTCATCTTTTGATGTTTATATGAATTTCTTGTTGATTTTTATGGGGACGAGACACAACGTTGTTGCTTTTAATGGACGCCATCCCAGAGTTCTTACAGAAGCAGTCAGTAGGAATTATTTTATGATCTGGCTCGTTTATAACGCTTGCAGCCACATAAATAATAATTAATTAATACACACAGTTCACTAAAAGACGATGAACAGCACCAAAAACACGACACAATATACGGCTTCATAAAAAATTTCAATTACTTGGGGAAAAGGGAACAGATAAGGCCCCGCGACCTCCTTATCTAGTCTGTCTGGGAGTGAGGGCTAAGCAGGTGAGATGTTTGCAATTAGCCAATGAGAGGCAAGACACTGGAATGGGAGAAGTTTTGCTTGGTTTGCGAACTAGTTGGTTCCCTTTGGAGCTAGCTCACTCAAGCAAGAATACAAAAATAAACTAGTTCATGACAGAAGCAAAGCTAGCAATTTTGCTTAAAGGAATTACAAATTTAAGAGGCAAGTGAAAAATCTATACATTTTGAACTAGTTCTCCTGATACTTAACTAGTTCATGTTAGAGCCGTAGTACGCCTGCTAAAGGATGAAGCCTGGAAGGAGTTTAGCTCTAATAGAGCTGAAGCTGAAGAAATCAAAGAAGCTTAGATTCAGGTGATTCTTTGGAATATATGAATATAAATATGCACATAAAATCTTCATTGATATATGCATATATTTATACATTTGTTCATATAATCTTTATATAATAAAAGCTGCGATTGTTCCGCTGATTGTGTTTTTAATGTGTCGCCTGGGCCAGAGCAGCTTAAAAGCAAAACTCTACTCCAACCTCAGCTTCGGCCGATGCCTCTACTGCACACACCCCCTCTCTAGCTTCACGCCCCTATTAGTGTACGCCTGTGTGTTTTTTTTTTGCATTTCGTTCAATGCAAAAATTCTCTTTGCGTAATTTAATCAACAGCATCGAAAGAACAAAACGAGCGCAATGTGAAATTTGTTGTTTTTGCTTCTTCGGTGCTTTGCTTAGTTTCAAGTTTTGGCAATGCCTCAGAGAGAGGGATATATATATAATATACACCTATATGTATATATATTTATTTATACATAT